AACAAAGTAGTTTCGCTTTCACAACGAAACAGCGTCAAACATGGCAGGCTAGAGTGAGCGGAGGCCGGGGGCTACCGTGTGGAACGGCCGGAGGGTTAGAGTGAGCAGAGGCGGGTGGTCTTGAGAACGGCGCGGCCGGCGATTTTGACGAAGGAACGTCCGGAAGGACATGTGACAACTCCGGGCTGGACTCCGCTTCGTCCACGGTGAAAGCCGATCTGGCGATCCACAGGGCAAAGTTGTAGTATTTCCTCAGCAACCAGCACAGATCAGCTCCAGGCATGACGAAGCAGATATCGTCCTCTTTTGGAAGACCAAACAAAGTATTTTCGCTTTCACAACGAAGCACACAGCGTCTTTACGACATGGCAGCGGCAACAACAAAACTACAGCGAGAATAAAAGTTACGCCTTCTTTCTTTGCTTGAACATTTGGGCGGCGTTATGCAAATCTTCCCACATCTCACGCGATGCAGATACAGGTGCATCTCAATAAATTAGAATGGCGTTGAAAAGTTAATTTATTTCAGTAATTCAACTCAAATTTTGAAACTCGTGTATTAAATAAATTCAGTGCACACAGACTGAAGTAGTTTAAGACTTTGGTTCTTTTAATTGTGATGATTTTGGCTCACATTTAACAAAAACCCACCAATTCACTATCTCAAAAAATTTTAATACTTCATAAGACAAAAAACATAACATTTCAAATTGGTGGGTTTTTGTTAAATGTGAGCCAAAATCATCACAATTAAAAGAACCAAAGACTTAAACTACTTCAGTCTGTGTGCATTGCATTTATTTAATACATGAGATCCACAATTTGAGTTGAATTACTGAAATAAATTAACTTTTCCACGACATTCTAATTTATTGAGATGCACCTGTATGTGGGGGCGTGTTAGAACGAGCCATTTTAGGTAGGCGTGGCTGACTCTTAACTTTTAAAAAGAATATCTCTTTGGATTTGAGACTTTAGTCTTTGCAACTTAACAGATCTTCTTTATGCACCAAGAGATTGTAACACTCCAAAGAAAAAGGAAAAATTGAAAACGCATCATATGACCCCTTTAATAAATTATCAGATAAATGGCCATTTATTTATGTTTTAGTGTATTTTATCAAATCTGAAAAGTAATTGTGTTTGTTCTCTAAAATACTAATATGAAATATTTCTTTCAATTAGTCCTACAAAAGTCAGTGAAAAAAGTAGAATTTTAATAATGAAAGTCACAAAATGTTCTGTTTTCGTGAGTCTACTGTGTATGAAAACTTACTGTTGTGCTTTCTGTCGTTGTGAATGACTCTTCACTTTCATTCCATCCATGTCAGTGACTGATGTCTTTTGAAGTTTTCATGGTTCAAAGTGTGACAAGCCAAGATGAATTTGAGACTCTTTCCACAGTGACCCAAATGAAATGGATGTCCAAGAGCAATTAAAAAATATCTCATGCAGCCAAGGTTTTGATGCGCTGTTCTTATCCAAATGTTGAATAGTATGTTGAATAGTGAGCTTTAAAATGATGGGGAACTAAAAGGACTAAAAGTAATCAGGGACATGGCTTTTCAACACTGGACTGGTAATTGAACGAGGGACTATGAAAGAGAAGTGAGAAAAAGAGGCGTGAAAGCTAACATTAGGAAAGGACTTAAGTACTTCTTTCTGCTGTTAATACTGACTACAATAACCAAATTCTACTCCCTGCTTGAACATTTGATTGGGTTTGCAGAGCTCTTGTCAAAAATCATTCTCCAAGAGCTTTTTGAGAATGGAATGGAAAACTGAAGGAGCTGTACTGTTGTATGATAAGTGATCCATACATAAGCTGGTGTCAATGAAATATTTTTGGGCTGGAAATGGATTCCTTGCACAATCCTGCTCCACTGTTCAAAAGGGCATGGCTATTGTGAAATAATGTAGAAATAAAATGCTTTTATTGCATAAGATTCAAACTTTTTTTTTTTGCATATATTTGTGTACAGTGAGGTCCAAAATGTTATCTGTTTTGTATGTTAATTAATTTTTAAAATGCTAATTACATCATCAGCATAACAAATTCAGAAATAATAATTTATATTAATTGTAATTTAATTTAATGTAAACATGTCTAAAGTGAAAGCAAGGAAATCTGACCTTTCCTATTACCATTTTTGGTAACACTTTAGAATAGGGAACACTTATTCACTATTAACTACAACTTTTCCCTCAATAAATTCCTAATTTGCTGCTTATTAATAGTTAGTAAGGTAGTGTTAAGTTTAGGTATTGGGTAGGATTAGGGTTGTAGAATAAGGTCATATAGAATAAGGCATTAATATGTGCTTAATTAATACTAATAAATGGCTAATATTCTAGTAATATGCATGCTAATAAGCAACTATTTAAGAGACCCTAAAATAAAGTGTTACATAGTTTTGTTTTTTCTCTCGCTTTGGTACTATTTTCACAATCAACTGTTAAATTGTCAAAACTCTACTACTATATCTGTACTAATATCAGAACAGATAATCAAAAGTGCACTTTTTTCAAACATTTCAGCATATTTTCAATTGTCATAACACAATACACACAATCACAAAGTATCCTTTTCACTATATAAACTATAGATTAATTCACAGTAACTGCTTTTCATAACGCTCTTGCTATCAAACTTTTCATTTGCATATCTTCTCATTCTGTTTCATACATTTGTCTATTATTTAATCTAACTCATCCTAATCAGTGAATCATTTGTTGCAGCTGTAGATATCTATAGATAAGGATTCATATAGTTTCTAGAGAACTTGTTTGCAATTTAGGGACAATAAAATTTAATTAAATTTTTTTTTTGCATTGTAAGTGATTTATAGATGATAATCACTATTTTGTACATGTATGGTTCAGGTAAACCCTATGTTGTGGGGACAAAATATCCCCATAAAGATGGCAATATCTGAAATCCTTGTCCTTGTGGGAGACTTTTTTTCTATGAGAGAAAAACATAATTTTTGTAAGGGTAGGTTTAGGAGTAGGGTTAGTGTTAGGGGCATAGAATATACAGTTTGTACAGTGTAAAACCCATTACTCCTATGGAATGTCACCATAATGATAGGAATACCTGTGTGTGTGTGTGTGTATACAGGATTTTCTACACTGGTGGGTACTTAAACCTGAATACACACAGACTCATGGGGACTTGTGTCACTGTGGGGACCTAAATTGAGGTCCCCATGGTAACAGAAGCTTATAAATCATACAGAATAAGTTTTTTGAGATTGCAAAAATGCAGAAAGTTTCCTGTGAGGGGTAGGTTTAGGTGTAGGGTTGGTGTAGGGTTAGAAAATACAGTTTGTACAGTATAAAAACCATTACGCCTATGGAGAGTCCCTACAAGGATAGTCAGCCGGACATGTGTGTGTGTGTGTGTGTGTGTGTGTGTGTGCGCAGGTTTATATATCCTGGAGGGGACTTAAACCTGAATACACACAGACTCATTGGGACTCATGTCCCAGAGTCGACCTAAATTGAGGTTCCCATGGGTACAAAAGCTTATAAATCATACAGAATTAGTTTTTTTTCCCTGTGAGGGGTAGTTTTAGGTGTAAGGTTGGTGTAGGGCGATAGAAAATACGGTTTGTACAGAATAAAAACAAGTATGCCTGTGTGTGAGTGTGTGTGCGTGTGTGTGTGTGTGTGTGTGTGCATGCCTACTTACCCATATTTTGGAGTCAAATTGGTACCCAGAAGTGAGCAAAACCTGATAAAATCACACACACACACACACACCCTTTGAGGTCTTCATTTGTTAAACTGTGTGTTTTGCAATTTGTGAACATACAGCAGGATACAAGGGAGAGGAACTGATCAGAGATTGATCAGAGATGTATCAGAAGAAGCATTTTGCATTACATGATGCCATGTGATACTGTATATAGAGGCATTACCATGGTAGAGACTGCACATTACTATAACTTATCTGAAAGGTGCAGTTACAGTATAGATTCAGGATGTATTCACACCAGGAAAGTCTGCTAGTTCACTTGCTTTGGTCTGGAACAAATACAATGTTGATTTTTTTTGTTTGGTGTGGTTCACTTTCACACTGCCCTTTCTGCAAGTGAACCAGAAACTGTAAACAAAACCACACGTGTGCTTAAGGTCATCCATTCATTGGTTCATCCATTCAACCGTACCAGAGTACGTTTGGAAGTGAACCGAGACCACCTCTTCAGCTGGGTCTCGGTATGATTGTTTGGTGCGCACCCGAGTGCGATTGCTGTATTCACACCTGCCCAAAAGATCCGCACAAAAGGGGGAAACGAACTTGAGTTCGATTCAATCGAACCTAACAAGACAGGTGTGAATACACCCTCAGTCATATGCCATACTGCATTGCCAGTAAACTCTGTTCTAGCACAAAACCTTATGGCCATGTCATACCTTCATCACACCTTTTGATACAGTAACACTGTATGAATACTTTTACAAACATTATGGATTTTATACGAGCTATGCAAGCTAGGTAATGTAAGTATATTTTCTAACATGGCAATTATTGCCTGTATTACTGTAATTATTTCAGTATAAACATGTATCTTGCACTGTTTGCTCTTGAATGAACTGATTGTTAAAAGTACTAAATTGAAAGAAGATCATACTGTTGTGTTTTGGTGATGAAATCAAATGGTCTCAATTTATATTACAATAATCTTATGTTTTGAAACAATGATTGAGTGGATGAAAATATGTATAATTGTAATGAAATTATGAGATCAGATTTTGAAAGAATGACCAGCGATGTTACAAGTGTGATCAGTTTGGATTTTTGTACTAAGAATTTTGAAAAAATACACCTTACTTGTGAAAATATTACCAAAGCGAATAAAAAAAAACTGTAAGTAATTCCCCTTGGTGGATGTCAGAACATTGCCTCAAAAACAGTGCAGATTTGTAAATTCTTATGGTATTATCCTATATATTATAGGTTTTATTGTTCACTTTTATTTGTTTTACTTCTCTAGATCCTGGCAAATATCATAATTTTCATATGTGGGAACCTGGCAGGAGCATACCATAAGCATCTGATGGAACTGGCGCTAAAACAGACATATCAAGACACCTGCAACTGTATAAAATCCCCCATCAAACTGGAGTTTGAGAAGAGACAACAGGTTATGTATCAGTCTTGCTTTGCTCTCTATCAGTTCTGAAGTCATGATATTTCAGCTGGTCTGTGGCTGGAGTTGAAAGATCTGCCAAAACTGAGATATTCCATGTTTTCTTTGGCAAAGCACTTAATGCTCAAGGTGACTTAACGTTGGTGAATTCAGGAGTGAATTGGGTCTAGTCCTGGAACACTGGAAAGCCTTTGTGGTGTGTGCCAGTTTGCTGAAAGAATGACAGAACTATGATTAGATTAGTGTAAAAATAATAATTCCTCAGCCTCCTAAGATGTATCAGACAAACTTCAAGTTTATTTAATCTATATGCATGTTTTTGCAAATGTCTTCAGGAATTTGAAAATACAGTATATTTGATTGTACAGAAGCTTCTTCAATATGGCTTCTTTTGTAAAGTGAATCAGAAGTGTGATGATATAATTTTCCCTCTTTTTGACAGTTCATAGTTGGTCACGTTAAGAAGTTTTTAAAGTGTCATGTCTACACCACAAGTGTAAAATAATATTATGTAGGCCACAAATGTTAGATTTGAGATTGAACCGCAGACACTGACAGTGATTTGCAGTAACAAATCATTTATTTTCAATCACTGGTTTCATTTCAGTTTCATTTTTTGCATCTTCAAATATATATATATATATATATGTGTGTGTGTGTGTGACCCTGGACCACAAAACCAGTCAAAAGGGTCAGTTTTCTTTTAAATTGAGATGTATACATCCTCTGAAAGCTGAATAAAATAAAAAAAAGCTTTCCATTGATGGAAATGATTTAGGATTTTATGATTGTAGGTGCTCAGGCACAGAAATGGAATAATCCCATATAAAATAACATTTCCATATTCTTCACTGTGTTGCACCTTGATTTTTCATAGCCATCTGGTTAGAACAAAAAACCCAGATTTACACAGCTTTTATAAGTTGTCATTTTATCATATCATGCCTATTAAGGACACAATGTTATTGAATTTGATTTGTTGCCTAGACTTTTCCATAATTACTTTTCCATAATTTTGACATGAAATTATCAGTGGGTCCCTTTTAAGATACTGCAAAACTTTACAGTCTCCTATTCTCAGCCCAGTTACTAATGAGTGGAAACCAGGACACTTTTGTGATGCTGGTTCTCAGCTCCCAGTTTAGACAGGGCCACAAATGGCGCTTTTCCACTGCGTGGTGCGACTCGGCTCAGTACGGCACGGCACGGCACGGCACGGCTCGGCACGGTTTGCGTTTCCACTGCAGTTCAGTACCGCTTTAGAGTGGGCGGGATTATTCACATGTCGTTATAGTTGCGCTGCCTCTACTACCACGACTCCTAAAAAAACGTTTTCATTCCGCGTCGCCCTATCAAGCTCTCGCTGTATCCGCTCCTCTGCTATCAATGAGAGGAACGTCTGTTCTTCCACAACAGACAACACAACTTTTTGGTTGTTAAAAAAGGTGCACTCATTCAAAACAGTTGCGTTCGATCCTTCGCTGGCTGTGCTGATTTAAATCTAGCGGTTCTTTTGTGTTTGTGTCGCAAGTTCAGTGACGCAGGTAGTGACGATTCTCTCCGGCCAATCACAGAAATGAAAAGGTCAGGGATTTAAAAGAATACAAAAAGATTATGTCACATGAAGTGTCACACGTTCAGACATGCAGAGATCTTGAGAAACACAATACTCTGAGGGTGCTTTTCTTGTGGCGGTTCATTCTGTTATGGTCTGAGGGGAACATTGCCATTAGCATTATTCTATTGTTCTGCTGCATCTGAAATACAATAAGTCCGAAGCAATTAAACAGTGTCAGATGCATAAAAAAGGTTCATCTAAATAAATCGGTATGTCTTTTTTCCAGTCCTGAGTCACCCATGCAAATGTATGTTCTCTTACAGTATTTTGTATGCTGATATTGTTGGATTTACCCGCTTGGCCACCGATTGCTCACCTGGAGAGTTGGTCCATATGTTGAATGAGCTATTTGGCAAATTTGACCAGATTGCCAAGGTAAGCTGGATCTCCTAATCCAGTGACTGACATGTACTTTATTGATATAAACCTTCTGGTTTGGAAAATATATTACTTTGTAAAACTCAAACCAAATGTTGCAGATAATTTCAAACATCTTTTTTTCTTCTGGCTGTTGACATTCTTGATTGTTTCTGTGTGTTTCAGGAAAATGAATGTATGAGAATTAAAATTTTAGGGGACTGTTATTACTGTGTATCTGGCCTCCCAGAGTCCTTGCCAAATCATGCCAACAACTGTGTGAAGATGGGTCTTGACATGTGCGAAGCTATTAAGTAAGTTCAGCCCCACATGTCTGCTATCAGTGGTGTTTTTAATACTAATTTGACCTTCTACTACTAAATACTACAATAAACAATTTTGGTACCTAAGGTCTACAATCTGGGTTCTGCAGCTAAATCAATTGAGAACCACCAGTCTAAACATCTGTCAAACTGCACATTTCCAAAGAGCTTGTACATCTGTTGTTTCTTTTAGATCTTAGCTGAAAGATTCTTTGCCTCTGATTAGCTTGAAAACATCTGTCCTAGGTTCATAATTATGATATATTCTCCAGACCTGTTCACGCTTTGTCTCTAAAGAACAACACTGTGAACATCTGGCTTTATTGCACATTACCACTGGAGATTAGAACATACTGTATATAATTTAAATCATCACTCTGTTTCTATTTACATGTAACTTCAATTTGCATCAAATTAAAAGCATTTTATTATACAATAAATAGACCAGGATTTAAGCAAACTGTGTGCTCTATTTCTATGATAGAATTTAGGCAGAGTCAGTCCAGCAGCAAAGCTTCTATTCCAGTCCTATAATCCTCCGCGCAGAGGGGCTGATTGGTCTCGGCCCAGTACTGCTGTGAAGGACATGATACCTGGCCATCCCGATAATGAGCGGAGGCCTCAGAGGTCAGACTGTGGAAAATGACTGACTGTCTGAATGGCTGAGTCTAGACGAGAGAGCTGTCTTTCTCTTATCTCTACCAGTTCTGCAGAAACCTGGGAGAATGAAATCTCTCTATTAGTAGTTGCTGTCAAATTGTGGTGTTGGAAAATGTGCTGTGAATTCCTGTTTAAGTATTGCAAGAAAACTCGTTGGAAACACAGTGTTGTAGAATAACGTATTATCAACCAAAAAAAAAAAAAAAAAAAAGAAAATTTGATGAATATTCTATGAAAATTCTATATTGTATGTTTTGAGTGCTTATTCTAAGCCATAGTGTAGAAACACTTGAGTTTTCATTTTAAACCAAGCGCCAATAAATGTTTTATAGATCAGCACCATTTTATAAAATTAATAATTCACACAAAAATGAAATTTGTTGTTCATTTTTCAGTCTCATGTCTTTCTAAACCCTTTTATTTTCTTCTGTGGAAACCAAACGAAGACATTTTAAATAATGTTCTAACGGCTGAGAGCATTTTTGAATAAATTACAAAATCATATTGATCAGGGTCTGTTATCGCTTGTGACTGATCATGAAACTGCAGGTTTGAATGTGCTAAAGAAATATTTAAGTGCTATAAGTTGTATTTACTAAAATATACAGTTTAGTCTGCCCCCACATGATGCAATTGTATGGCTACAGAAGACATGTAATATAACATAAGAAACACAGGGCCTACTTTTGTTGTCCTATGGTGCTTTTTTGAAACTTGAAATCCTCAGATCGCTGTATGGAAAAGAACAGCTAGGGCATGTTGTTAAGCATCTTATTTTATGCTCTAAAGAAGAAAGAAAGTCACAGGTTTGAGTAAATTATACATTTTCAACAGGGTCATGCTCACCACTTTTTTATGCATCTCTTGCAACTTGTGAATTGGAGTGACAAAAACAACATTCAAAAGGTCGTGCCTTTTAAAAGGTCAAAGCCATGTATCTTGTCTCAATGTGTTTCTAATCGTGTTATGGTATAAGGTTAAATCGATGCTCTGGTGTCTGATGGGGTGTGTTGTTATTTCCTTCTTCCTTTTCTGTATAGGAAAGTGCGAGACGCCACAGGAGTGGACATTAACATGCGAGTTGGTGTTCACTCTGGAAACGTTCTCTGTGGTGTGATTGGCCTCCAGAAATGGCAATATGATGTCTGGTCACATGATGTGACTTTAGCCAATCACATGGAAGCAGGTGGTGTACCTGGGTAAGCCATTGTGGGGTTTTATTTTATTGTTTGTTTAATTTTTAATTAAAGCTATTCATAATTATAATACGCATTTTTTAGTTTGTAGAATATGTGAAATTGTTGACAATCTGGTCAGATTAGTACGATAGTAATTGCAAGTTCTTGATGAATAGACGAGTCCACATCACCTCGGTGACTCTTGAGCACTTGAATGGGGCATATAAGGTTGAAGATGGAGATGGCCAGGAGCGTGATCCTTATCTAAAAGAGCATGGAGTTGTAACCTACTTAGTGATCAACCCAAAGGTATGAAGAACAAATGAACAGTCGCTTTTGTTTCCTTCAAGTCTAAAGCTTTCTTTCAAAACCTAGCCATTATTGCTGATGCTGCTGTCATTACAAAATCTTGTGGCAATATTTTTCATGTTACTAAGATATCTAAGGCACTTACTAAATGCAGCTGAGTATGTTTAAGTGAAGTTTGTCTAGACTGTGGTCTGTTTTTTTCAGGCAGAGAGAAAAAGTCCTCAGCACCACTACAGACCCAGACACGCCATGTATGGGACTAAAATGAGAGCTTCAGTGAGGATGACCAGATACCTGGAGTCATGGGGTGCAGCCAAGCCTTTCGCCAACCTTCACCACAGAGACAGCATGACCAATGAGAATGGAAAAATCAACACCGCTGTGAGCTTGACTATGAGACACTATGAACTCTCCAATAGCAGTTCTCAACAGTCCTCCCTTTCTTCTTCTTCTTCTTCTTTTTTTTCAGGGCCTAGATTTTAGAGTGGAGATTTTAAGACGTTAAACTGCTTAATGTACAAAAGTAAATAAAAATGTCCTTAAATACATTTTTAAAACTTGACACTTTTTAAAATTCATAAATAGCACTTGGTAAAATTAATATACAAGTGAGGTAAATCAACTTTTGATGTGAAATAAAAATAAATAAATACAAATATTATTATAATATATAACTATGCACAATTTTATAGTTAGTTTTAATATTTGTGTTCATCCTATGTTCATCCTATTTACAGTTCAAGACCCACCAGTCCCATACGCAAATGTAATATATGTACATATATTACATTTTCATATTTGAAATAGATTGTCACATGACGTAAGACAAACATATACAGTATGAAACCTATTAGAAATTGGAATTGTATATAATACAACATATATCTAGATTGGCTAGATGGCTTTTATGTGTTTGAGATGTCAATGTTAATATCATATAAATAAATGTAAATGCATTTTAAAAATTGTTACAAAAACATAAAAACAGCTTTTGTTCTTGTGACTTTTATTTATTTGAGATGTCCCTACTGCTAAAAATTACTCACCACCTACTCTTTTCTTATTAACAGGATGTCCCCATGGGCCAGTACCACTTTCAGAGGCGTTCAGAGAGGTGATTTAACTTCTGTATCTTTTTCCAACAGTAACATTGTTTTTAGCCTACTAAAGGGCAGTTATGCTACAGTAGGTGACATATTCTCAATCCTAGTGATCCTAGTTTTGACCTTTTTTTAATAAACATAGTATTTAAATACATACAGTACAATTAATATGTATAGAATTAATTGAAATGGTAAATATATTTTATGTTTATGAATGCATGCCAAAGAGATCAGCATAGACAGAGTCATTAATAAGTCAGTGTCCTCCTCAGAACAAAATCTCAGAAGAAGCGTTTTGAGGAGGAACTCAACGAGAGGATGATTCGAACTTTTGATGGCATCAATTCTCAAAAGTAGGTCATCTCATATTTCTGCTTTATTTGCCCATGATGTTTAACGTTCCAGTTCTTTGTGGGTTGGTTTTATCTATACGTGTCTTTTTATTTCCATAGACAATGGCTCAAATCGGAGGACATTCAGAGAATATCTTTGTTTTTCCACAATAAAACATTGGAAAAAGAGGTAAGCACTGATACTTTGTAAGCTTATGTTAATTTGAACTAGAGTCATCCATATTTTTTTTAATAATACATCACCATATAAATAATTGAAACATAAACCTGTTTGTTGTCATCCACGATAAGACAGAATGAAACAAATCAGTCAACTAAATAAAAAAATACCAAATTGTTCGATTCTGAATGAGAAAAGTGTGTCCTTTCCCTGCAGTATAGAGCAACGACCCTGCCGGCCTTCAAATATTATGTGACCTGTGCCTGCTTGATATTCTTCTGCATTTTCATTGTTCAGATCCTGGTTCTGCCAAAGTAAGTTTGTTCATATTCTGCACCTGTTTCACAATGCATGACAACACAGGAAATGTCATAGAAGGGTTTAAAGAATGCAATCGGTATCCAAATGCATAGAAATGTTTTGTTTAACATAGAATTCTTCATTTCTACTAACTTGTGTTTATCTCTGTTACAAAAGGAGTTTATTTAAGTCTTCACTGTAATGAACTGGAGCTGTCAGGATGAATTTGTTGAATTAGAGTTGGAGATGCCAGGATGAATTTGTGAGCGGGAACACCTGTTCTCACTTTCTTCCGTTTGTGATTTAAGACACCATGTGCTTTCTGTCTATTTCAGAACGGCAATATTGGGAATATCATTTGGAATGTCTTTCTTAATTCTGTCTTTGATTCTGCTCATTTGCTTCATTGGGCATTTCTTGGTAAGTACCAATGGAATCTAGTGATTATTTGCTAGATAGTTTTAACACTGTTTTAGCAAAACCCAATCATTCGTTTAACACAATGTACATTACATTATATTGCTATTTGTTCTTTTTGGAAGAAAAATATATAATATGTGCATATCCAGAAACTTTAGGCAGGCGCTCAATCAATTGAAGCACTTTACTATAAGTAAACAAGAATTGGGTACACTGCACCTGCTGTTCCCAAAGATCAATTTATTAAAATAAACACAGCGTTTTGACCCTAAGGTCTTCATCAGACAAACTTGTTTACTTTAGATAACTAGATTCTTGTGTACTTATAGTGAAATATTTTTGGAAGAAACACATATATCTGCTATTGTTTGGGGCATTTGGTACACTTGTGAAAAAGAAGTACACTTCAGTATACCTATTATAACAAATAAATTGAATTGCAAGCTGAATGTAATGGTTTTGAACACTTTATAGTTCAATTTTATATTAAATGCAATTAGTTGAACTTAAGAGAGCTTTCTGACCCATCTGACTTCTACTGTCTTATGTCATTTATACTTGTATGGCATGTATTTAAATATGTTTGTAATCAAACATTGTAATGATAAAGTTGCAATTTAGTATAAATGTAAAATATTAACATTAAATGTAATTTAAAAAACACAAGAGGTAAAATTGTAATCAATACTTCACATGTGCCTCTGTTAGTCAAAATAAGTGTATTTCTTTAAAGCATGACAAAATATTATTAAAAACAATGATTTAAAATGTACTTTAAATTAAACATTTAATTTGTCATTATTACAAAGTGACATACTTATGTGTGTCAAGAAACAGTATCTTTTTTAAAATATACTTTTAAGATTTTAAGTATACAGTGACCAGGTGGGGACATATATGGTTCACTTAATTTTGTCATGGACACGACATTGTGACTAGTAGGAACATGATACTATGTCTTAGCCACAAGATATTCATTTGTGGGAGTGTCAGATTCATTCCTCAACAAAACTGCTACATGTTTATAATTTTACTTACTAATATAGCCTAATATTTAAGTTCCAAAATAAAACTAATTATTTTAAAAAAAGTGACATGACATGTGGCCAAGTATGGTGAACCATACTCGGAATTAGTGCTCTGCATTTACCCATCCAAAGTGCACACATACAGCAGTGAACACACACACACACCGTGAACACACACTCGGAGCAGTGGGCAGCCATTTATGCTGCGGCGCCCGGGGAGCAGTTGGGGGTTCAGTGCCATGCTCAAGGGCACCTCAGTCGTGGTATTGAAGGTGGGACAGAGCGCTGTACATTCACTCCCCCCACCTACAATCCCTGCCGGTACGAGACTCGAACCCGCAACCTTTGGGTTACGAGTCCGACTCTCTAACGATTAGGCCTTCCCTAAGTCGTGGCCTAAATTATTTGAACTTTATTTGAACGCTGTCATGGGCACAAAGTAGCTTATATATAGGCTTACATTTGTAATAAAAACAGACACTCATTTATTGTCACATATAGATTGTAAGCCTACAGAAATACAGTCTTTACTTTACAAGCATGATTGTTGGGCATTTACAGTATTTACAAAACATATGGTAGCAACTTTAAGTAACCTAATAATGCCGTACGTGAATTAGATAAAGAGAAATGTGAAATGAAGGTTACATAACAATTAATATAATAATAATAAAAATAATAATAATAATTATTATTATTGATTTAGAAAGTAGGGTGAGATGGATGAAAATGTTTTCTTGTAGGCCTATATTATGTACATATTCTTTTAACATTTATTGTCAATAAACTTCATTTGAATTTCATTTGAATCCTGTCTATATATTGCGTGGCCATGACATAAGCCATCGCTATTACCTCAACAAAAGGATCTTGTGGCCACTAGTTAAATGTATATATGTCATAGTCTCGACATGCTATGATGTTTGTTCCCACAATTTAATATCTTGTGGCGACAACGTATTTTCATGACAAATAAACCGTGAACTGAACATGTAGGTTCAGCACAATTAAATACACTTCTTGTTCACAAAGTGAAGAGCAGTGGTTCTCAATTAGTTTCACCCCTATTTCACTTTGGACATAAATTTTATTTTATTTTGCCTTAAATGAATTAGTTTGGACTTACTGCCTTTAGCGAAGAAGAAAAGATACAGGAAGCATTTTTTCCTCCCTTTTAAAACTTGATAAATACAGTTATTTTATGATCCTGACATCTCATGCTTGTATGGTTAATTGATTTAACACACAGTATCCAAGAAAACAAATTGCCCACCCATTTTTAAGTCATAACCCAAATACAAATACACAAATTAATGTCATTGCTAAATTCCTCATCTGTTGGTAGTGCAAGGACTATTTTATACATAATCACTGACACTCTTACATTAAAATTGAATTGATCTTTTTTTTTCTCACAGTATAAAAAAGTAACAGATTATAACAAAGTTTAGAGGCTGATGTTGTACAGGTTGGAGCTGATGTCAATTTCACTGTGTACATTTTTGAAGGTCTTATGCTTGTTTAATTCTGTGATAGTTATTCTGACTCAGCTCTTAGGTAGCTTTATTTATTATTCTACAAAAGCATCAACCGCAGTAAGATTTCCCAAATGTACAAGAAAATAAAACTGGTGCGTGAAATGAAGTTAATCATGTGTTTATTCTCCACCATGACCTTGTGATAAAAGTCTGATGAGGATGTGTTAAACAGATTTCCCAAGGCATATCACAATAATACAATTCATCCAACCAACCAACCAACCACATCTCTCTCTCTCTCTCTCTCTCTCTCTCTCTCTCTCTCTATATATATATATATATAGTTTGTGTGTGTGTTTCATTGTGTATTTAAATGATTTTATAATAACAAATTATACTGAAGACAAATTAGTTCAGATAAATTCTTTCTGATCATCTTTTTAATTTTATGAATAAAAGATTTTACTGATTTTATATGCATTTTTATGTATGTATGTATTTATTTTAGTGCTGTCAAACGATTAATCGCGATTAGGCCTAATCGCATCCAAAATAAAAGTTTTTGTTTACGTATGTGTGTGTGCTGTGTATATTTTTATGTATATATAAATACACATACATGCATGTACATATTTAAGAGAAATGTGTTATGTTTATATAGTATATATATTTATATATAATATAAATTATGTGAATGTAAATATATACATGTATATACAGGTAAATATTTTCAAAATATAAACTGTATATGTGTGTATTTATACTGTATATACACAGTGGTGGAAATGGCCAAAATTCACTCGGGAGACTCTGGAGAGGATGTCTTTCAGATGTATTTAATTATGAAACCCTTATATAATCCATAGTAACACTAAACTTATTTCATACTGCAATTCTGCACCTGCAATTCTGGCCAAATTAAAGATGCGTTGTGTGTGAATTTGCACGTTATAATGTAAGCATCATTAATGACCCTGACCATATAGTAGAAAAAAAACCTGATTTGTTTAGTGAAATGAAAAATGATTTAATAAAAAATGAGAATAATTATTGTCTCTAATTGGCCTGCTTAGCAAAGCCCTCAAAAAACTTCTTATTTAGTGGTACAGTATTGCATGATTTGTAGATTATATTTAATAGTTTACACTTTGCCAGAACGTTTGCGATTCGTTTTTAAAAGGCAACATGACATTCTTAAGGACTCGCTTACGCTTACATTTCTTTTCAGGAGCACTTGTGCTCCTACTTAAAAACAAACAAACAAAACAACAATTAGGAACACCACTTCTTATTTAGTGGTACAGTATTGCATGATTTGTAGATTATATTTAATAGTTTACACTTTGCATAAACGTTTGCAATTAGTTTTTAAAAGGTAACATTATATCCTTAAGGACTCTACGCTTACATTTCTTTTCAGGAGCACTTGTGCTCCTACTTAAAAACAAACAAACAAAACAACAATTAGGAACACCTGATCAATGACATAAATTAATCTTCCCATTATAAGGTAATATTTGACTCCTTATTTTTTTCTCTCTTTGTAATGCCATTTTTCTAACTTTATTAAATGTAATCTTTTGTGCAAAAAAAAAATACATGACATTCTTAAGGACTCGCTTACGCTTACATTTCTTTTCAGGAGCACTTGTGCTCCTACTTAAAAAAAACCAAACAAAACAACAATTAGGAACACCTGATCAATGACATAAATGAATCTTCCCATTATAAGGTAATATTTGACTCCTTATTTTTTTTTCTCTTTGTAATGCCATTTTTCTAACTTTATTAAATGTCATCTTTTGTGCAAAAAAAAAGATTTACAAATGTTTATAAACAATTTTAATAAAACAATAAATTCAACTAAAATGATAAGATACAATCACAAAGAATAAGTTACCAGTCAAATTAAACAACAATTAATCTATGCATGGCACAAAAGAGCACAAATGTGGAACATTTAAAGACCTTTTGACAAGATTCAGATGTGGCATTAATGCATAATGTCATAATCTTATAATGCCAATGTTATGAGATTAATGTTTTAAATATAAAGTTTTGAATACAGAAATGTTAAAGATTTAAATGACTAAATTTATACTTTAAAAATGAAACTGAAACCACCAGTAGGTGGCAGCAAGTCAAAGTCTTGGTTACTGATTCATTTGTTCAATCGATTTGGCCAAATAGATTAATGTTTTAAATATAAAGTTTTGAATACAGAAATGTTAAAGATTTAAATGACTAAATTTATACTTTAAAAATGAAACTGAAACCACCAGTAGGTGGCAGCAAGTCAAAGTCTTGGTTACTGATTCATTTGTTCAATCGATTTGGCCAAATGGCTGATTCATTTAGGAACGAAGCAAGTGACTCTCTTTATGAATGGGTCATTGAATCATTGACTAACTAGATTTGTTCAAAAACGCAGATTCATTCATAAACGAAACATCACTGTGTTTGAATGGAGATTGCGCAGCGGCTGAGCTGTTGTTGACAAATTAGACAACAAATTTGTTGACAATAGAGCACAATCAGACAACAGTGTTCCTAAAATGTAAGTCAATTTAATATTAACTTTTGTATAAAATCAAAAATGTATAAAACTTATAATGAATGACAAACTGCAGTCTGCTTTCATGATCTGTTCTGTGAGGAGCAGGACACGCACCGATAGAGAAGCATTTCTATTGGCTGCAATCTGCAGGTATTATGACAAAAGACGACATTGCGCAGCTAACCATATTCCGCTACGTTTTAAGTCTACATTACACTACGTTTTATATACAGAACTGGGATCGCTTTAGTAGACTTTTGAATGGATAAATTATAGAAATCATTTTAATTTCCAGTAGAACCTAACCAGCTGGAAGTGAAACGCTGTCCCCCCCTCGAAATTCACTCCCCGGACTCCGTCCTCCCGCGTCCCCCCCGTCCCCCCCATTTCCAGCCCAGTATATTAATAATAAATATACACAGTACACACACATATATTATGTAAAGAAAAACTTTTATTTTGGATGCGATTAATCACGATTAATCGTTTGACAGCAACTAATTTATTTATTTATTTTTTATTCGTGTTGACCAACAATAGCATTGCGATAAGACAGCCTCTGCATCTTGGCTCTGGATCCTTAGATCCTCCGGAATCATTGCCAACAAGCCCTGGCCACGCATCACCCTCACCATGGCAACCACAGCCCTCATCCTGATCATGGCTGTCTTCAATATGGTATGTCAACCACAATGATCCAGGAAAAATAAGACACTGAGATGCTCCCTAATTGGATCACACACATTACATTAAGGGCCTTGACCGTAGTAGTCTGACATGCGTTATTGCAGAGTTTCTTGGCAGAGATTAGTGTCCATCTGAGCCCTGGCTGCAGAGGGCTGTTTGGCCTCCAGATTTGGCCATTCCACTTGCGGCATATGTCCCTATTTGTAAACAAACATGAAACAAATCTGTCGATTTCAATCTTGTATTGTACATGTATTTATCATTTAAAGAACACAGAACATGATACTGTGATTTCACTTACTTGATGTAACTGTCGCTGTGCAGTAAGCGGGGTGGCTGTTACACCTCGGGTGTGCATTATTTTTCTAATAATTCAACAGTCCGGAGTCAATTATTCCGCTTATACTACGGTTACCACACCTCAAGACATCGATTAGATGATATATTTCGAGGCATTTGTCCGGTTTTTGTACTTAAAACGCTATTGTGAGTAGGATTAATTTCTTCCGCATCTCATCCAACGCCTCCATTGCTAATTCCAAAACGTCATTTTAGACCTAGTAACGGAGGCTTGAGCCGTTGATAGCAGACTGATGCAGCTAATAACTAAGCTATGAGAGAGAGAGAGCGAGAGAGAGCGTCCCCACTAATAGTGAAACTTTAAGTTAATTTCTCGTATAGTGCCCTTACCTCGCTTGTGAGAAATGTCATGTAGCCTTTGAGTAGCTAAACTATTTTACTGATAAAATCGTAGGAGTAGCGCTAACAACGTTAGCGCGTATTATGTCTCCGTGTGTGCATCTGTAAGGGAGCGACAGTGGGAGATATAGAGTACATGCTTTACATAAATAATAAATCGTAATTTTGTGGCAAAACTTGAAAATGTTCTGTCGTTTTTATCCTATTGCTTAAGTTAATATATTTATGTGTTTGGGCAGTGTCGTTGTGGGTTTTGGTTATTTGCTGTTGTAATACATTTGAAATAACCACTAATCTATAATAGAGAACTTTATTTATATTTAGATCAATGGAAATAACTGAAATCATTTGGCGAAGTGATATGGAACTGTTTTGCTGTCAAGACCTGCCTGGAACTACGTTCGCCATTGTTTCCCTGAAAATAATTGCACACCTTAGAACGTTTGTCAGCCAATCAGATTCAAGCATTCAACGGCCCCGTATCAATAACACTTTCTGAATATTTTATTGTGCATTTATTCTTCTTCTTCTTAAAAAAAATCATTATATTTTAATTATCTCTTGCAGTTCTTTGTAGAAGACAACTTAACATCCACAGATACTGTTTATAATGCATCAAATGAGACACTTCTTCAGCCTGATGGACATCCCATATCTTACATGGACAACAACACATTCTACCTTCCTGTGAGTTAACTATATTAACTCATGACATGTTTTTTTAATTTTTTTAATAAAATCAAAAAGTTCTTCTGATGGACCTTCAGACTGTAAATGTGAAGAGTAAATGTGGAAACTATCTGGTATGTGTCCTTTCTTGGACTTTTGACCAGCATTATACGTAACATGTGAAATAACATTCATTATGAACTCAGCAAAAACAGAAACGTCCTCTCACTTTCAACTGCTTTTATTTCTAGCAAATTTCTTGAGGTGTAAATTATGTAAATTCAAATTTTTACAAAATTATATTTAAAATACAGTATCCTGAAAATGGGGGTTTTTTTCTGCTGAAATTATAATAGCTGGTAATTACCTACAAGGCATTCATTTGTGATTTTATGCAACGAGGAAGTTCACATTTTAATGTTAAAAAAAACAGTTGAAAATGAAGTTCAGACAAAGAGGTTTCTTGAGCGTATACTCAATGCATTATACAGTATAGCATCAATGTAACTCATTGAAAACTATTCAGTGTGAAGGTCATTTTGCACATCTGATTTGGTTATGAACATGGATGATGTTGTTATTGGATTATGATTTCATGACTAGTGCAGCTTAACCCAGTTTTTCAAATAGGGATTTAATTACCTAATTACACAATGCTGAAATATTTCTAATATGCCACATTATCTTATATCCTTTTTCTCCTTTAATTTTGTTTCATAGATGTTTTTACTGGTTATACTGTAGACACAGGAGTCAAAAGGCAGTTCAGCCTGAAAAACAGTCCTTAAACACATGAATTCAAAGTATCACATAGTGTTTACTGTTTAACAAGTTGCATAACTCTTTAGTCGATAGAGAATAGCTGACTGATTTTGTTTTTGATCCATGTCTTATCACCATTGATTCAAATATAGTTTATTTAGTAAGAACATAAGTGGGTTTTTTACAGTCAGAACACAATATTTATGACTTCTGTTTTCCTGCTGTTAGTATTTTATCTACAGTTGCATTCTGGGCCTGATTTCCTGCTCAGTGTTTCTGAGGATCAACTATGAACTGAAGTTGCTCATCATGCTAACAGCCGTGGTGCTCTACAGCATCATCATACTTCAAACACACGCATCTCTGCTGGACGAGTACAGTAAATTCCTCTACAAAACAGAGATCCTGGATAGGTGAGAACTTGTTATGTATACTATATGGTCAGAATTATGTAGGGACCAATACACTAATATGTGGTTGGGCATTGACATTAATAGAAAGTCGGTCCTTCCTGTACTTCTAAATATAACAACTTAAATTCCTCTGGGAAGGCAACTGGAACATGGCTGCATAGATTTTCAGACACAATTATTTTGCAGTCAGCATTTGAATGCTCAGTGGGTTATAGGTCTATGCTTTTATACTTTTTTTTGTTTTTTGAGTCAGTCATGTCCACACCAGACTTGGTAAACCATTTGGATCTTACTTTGTGCACATGGGTCATTGTATCACAGATGTCATTGTATGTTGTAGCATTAAGATTTGTTTTCACTGGATTTAAGGGCCCTATTAAGCAGAAGGGAGTGTCCACATACTTTTGGCTAAGTATTGTAGTATGTATGTTGCAGATAATGATTGTTTCAGCTTTAACATTAAATATCTATATTTATCAGTAAGCTTTTGGTGCACAGCAGCTAGTCAAATCTGCTCTGATATGGTAATCACAGGTAACCATGTGTATACATTAAACCATCAAATTTATAAATGATGACAGGATTTTTAGTGTCAAGCAATTCACGCAATAATCCCAAAAACTCTTGCTATATTTGGCTCATATAACCAAAACTAGCACAAGAAAAGAAAATTTGGATTCACTTCATGCACAACAGTTTCCTGAGGATTACAGATTTTGTTCTAGAAATCAGAGCTGGATGTTGAAAATAAATCACTGAACCAGCACAGACACTTCCTGCTAATTGACAGCTGGAGTGGACATGGTCTGCTAGCCATCCTGGGCTACAGATGACATGATTTGTTACAAAAAAACAGTGATGCTGACAAGTCTTAAATCTCTCTCTCTGTCTCTCATCAAAACAAGGCCAGGAGTTCTGAAAGACTTGAAAACTATGGGCTCTATATCTCTCTTTATATTCTTCGTCACTCTGCTTGTTCTAGCTAGACAGGTGAGTGTTCTTTTTTTAAAGGGGAGGTACATTTGCTAATTTATAGATTAAAACAGCTGATGTTTATCATGTTATTTGCATATTCTATGTGTGCATGTTCACATAAAGAAGAAATTCTACTACTGCCGTGAAAGCAGAAAGGACTACTGTAATAAAATAGTTATAGATATCATTAAATACATTTTACAAAGAAACTTTATTCATTGGAAATATAAAAGCTTTTTATTTTATTTGAAATCAAAATATATTTATATAATTTTAAATTGAGATATATATATATATATATGTATGTATGTATGTATATTTGAAGAGTTCAGATGCAAAAGCCTCTAAGTGACGTCTGAAATTTTCCTCTAAAATAAGCATTTTTATCAGGCTCCTATATTTATGTTTGTCACATTCGCTACTGTGTTGGAGCGCGGAGTGAGAAACGAGGAGACGTTGAGTACATCAACAAGGAGATTAATAAAATCAAGGAAACCAGGAAAACACACGTAGCTGAGGATGTTGACATTCACAATACCGGACGACCAAACTTAGAATAGGGCTCACTATAAATAGACAGGACTAAAGGATGGGATGACGAGACACACCTGGAACTAATGAAACAAACATGATTAGAACAGGAACAGGAAGAACCAAATAAGGGCAAAAGGAAACATTTGGGGAGTAAAACACACAAAACACGGAACAGAGTCTGACATTACTCCCCAGGGGTGGGTGGTACCCGTTCAGGGGCGCCATGGCGGATCAGGCAGCTCTGGGAGACATGGCGGAGCAGACAGTTAAGGAGGCCATGGCAGAGCAGACAGTTCAGGAGGCAATGGCGAAACAAGGAGCTCGGGGAGCCTGGCCTCGGCACTTGGCCCGGCCTCCAGGGATGGACCCCTACTACCCCCCTCACAAAAAATCCTTGGGGAGAATAGTTTTTAGAGGGCCTCCATAGGCCTAACTCGGGAACTGTGGCCCTCTTTGGGCTGGATAAGGTAACTGGAGCCCTCCTTGGGCTAAACTCGGGGACTGGGGCCCTCTCTGGGCCAAACTCGGGGACTGAAACCCTCTCTGGGCTAAACTCCGGGGCTGGAGCCCTCTCTGAGCTAAACTCGGGGGCTGGAGCCCTCTCTGAGCTAAACTCGGGGGCTGGAGCCCTCTCTGGGCTAAACTCGGGGACTGGAGCCCTCTCTGGGCTAAACTCGGGGACTGGAGCCCTCTCTGGGCTAAACTTGAGGACTGGAGCCGACACCGAAGCGAGCTCTGGGGCAGGGATGAGGGCGGAGAATAGTCCCCTTCTCCTCATCCTCCTCCTTTGGCTGAGGGTAAATGGTGCGACCGGCGGGCTTGAGTGAGCCGCGGCTGGTGAGCTTGACTGATGAACAGCCAGCTGACTTGACTGAGGATGGATGGGACTACTGTGTGATGCCTCTGGGCTGGCGTTTGAGATCAGAGAGGAGACAGGATCTGCTGACGAACCGAGCCAGGTTGATGTAATCGGGCAGGGTCCACCTGGACCTTGCCAGTGGCATCCGCTGAGCGATCCCCTCATCCAAACCACCCCAGAAATAGTCCACCAGAGTCCACCGGTCGAGGGAAATCCGCTCTGAGCAGGCGAGGAGCTCCTGGATGTACTCTTCCAGGGGACGGCCATCTTGATACACCGAACACAATGGTTCAAGGGGATCCATAGAAAAAGACCAAAAGAAAACACTTTCTAAACCGGGGGGGAAAAAAAACACGGAGAGTAGGGAGCCGCTTACTGTTTAGGTCTGGTATTCTGTCACGTTTGCTACTGTATTGAAGCGCGGCACAAGGAGACGTGGAGTACACCAACAAGGAGATTTTAATGAAATCAAGGAAACCAGGAAAACACACGTAGGTTGACATTTACAATACCGGACGACCAAACTTAGAACAGGGCTCACTATAAATACACAGGACTAGATGATGGGATGACGAGACACACCTGGAACTAATGAAACAATAAACATGATTAGAACAGGAACAGGAAGAACCAAATAAGGGCATAAGGAAACACTTGGGGAGCGAAACACACAAAACACGGAACAGAGTCTGACAATGTTCAGCTATTTCTCTTTAATTGCATAGAAAAGGACCTATATATTGCCATTAGAGTAAAATTACTGAACCTAAACATAGGAGCCTGATAAAAATGCTCATTTTAGATGAAAATTTCAGATGGCACTAAGAGGCTTTTGCATCTGAACTCTAGTATGTAAATATATAGAAGTACAGAACTGCAAAAAAGCATCATTGAGTATTTGTATTGTGTACGTATATATGCTGTGTGATGAGAATAGGACTTTCTTTTATCATATGGATTTGCTCTGTCGTGTTTGTAACTGAAATAGCGCTGTGACCTCCAGTTTCTTTACCTCTGTGTCCTCTTGTAACAGAATGAATATTACTGTAGGTTGGATTTCCTGTGGAAGAACAAGTTCAAGAAAGAATGCGAGGAGATAGAAACCATGGAGAACCTTAATCGTGTTCTGTTGGAAAACGTTCAGCCAGCCCATGTAGCAGAGCACTTTCTGGCCAGGAACTGGAAGAACGAGGTAAAAATGGAGATGGAAAGAACAACTAAAGAGCTAGCCTGTACTGCAATTTATATACTGTTTGTCTTAGGAGGTATGCATCCCAAATTCACATGGTGAAAATAGAATGAGCTTCCCTACTTCAAAGCTACCACAATACTGTGTTATATATTCAGAAAAAAGTGTTACTCTTGCACTACAAAATTGTTATATGTCTTAATATGTCTCAACAATACTGGCTTGCTTCATACCTAAAAGTATATACTTAACTAGCACAGAAAAACATTTTATCTATAGGTAATGAGATTAAAAGTGCATCTAACAATAACTTGAATTTAGATGCTTGAAAGTGCTTGACAACTGACAGCTGTTTTCCTCTGTTTGAATTATAGCTTTGAAGAAAAATCTTTTGCGATTATAACTTTTAAGCAATGCTATCTGTTTGAAAGTCAGTCCTTGGATATTTATGGCTGAGCTGCCTTTTCCTCTGTGAATGACAGGATTTGTATCACCAATCATATGACCTGGTGTGTGTGATGTTTGCTTCTATCCCGGACTTCAAAGAGTTCTACACAGAATCAGATGTAAACAAGGAAGGTCTTGAGTGCCTCAGACTACTCAACGAAATCATTGCAGACTTTGATGAGGTAACGTATTGCTTCTTCAGGTACTTTTAGAAAAAAAAAAGTTGTTTCCTTTTTTACTCTTTAACTTTTATGCCATTGAAGTGTACTTTGAACTTACTGTAGTGTGCAAATTCTGCTTGCTTGCTATGGAATTGCATTCGCCCATATGAAATTAATCTTATTATGTCAAAAATAAATGTTATTTCCATGATGCAGTCATTTTTCACAAAGCAGTTTTGATGGTTTGTTTGATGTCAACTCTGGTTATTTTGTCTTTCCTGTGTAGTTGCTCTCTAAGCCAAAGTTTAGTGGAGTGGAGAAGATAAAGACTATTGGAAGCACATATATGGCAGCCACTGGACTTAATGCCACACCAGGACCAGAATATACACAGGTATCAGGAATGTATGCTATCAATCGTCTGTGAAATTATGCAAATCGTTCATGGGAATCAGATGCAGTTTTCATCCTGATTATTTATTTATTTGATTAATTTATTAATTTTCTTTTAATTCTTGTAACATTTTGGTGGTCCAACGCTACTCTTTGAATAAAGAGATTTGTGTGTGTGTGTGTGTTTATAGGAGCATGACAGGCAGTATATGCACATTGGTACCATGGTGGAGTTTGCCTTTGCACTGGTGGGGAAGCTTGATGTCATCAATAAACATTCCTTCAATGATTTCAAACTTAGAGTGGGTGAGTAAAAAAATAATAATAAGTGTGTAACATGGAAGTAATATACCATGCATTATAGTCAAATAATACTGTATCTTCATTTCAATTGGATGACAATACATTTAAACAAATATTTTCAGTATCATTACAGATTTTCTCAATCGATTTGACACTTTTCTCCAATGCAGTGTACTTGTTCTCGAAACAATTAGCACAGTCATCCAAACACAAAATTATCTTAACCAAACAGTTCAACTTTACTGCAAAATGAAGCACTGCATTTATTTCTAGTAATGCATTTATTAAAAGTAAATAGTAACATCAAATCTATAGGTGTGTTCTCTATTGATTTTAAAACACATTCAGCTGTAGATGCACAAATATGCTAATGAAAATACATGTTTATTGTAATTCTTCAACAGGGAGTTTTGTTTTTATATATAGTGTGCATATCTAAACAAAATAAAAAAATGTTATCCAACATCTGCTGTCACCCATGTGAAAAAAACTAATTGCCCCTTTAAACTTAAAATCTGTTCATTCCACCTTTAGCAGCAAGAACTGCAAACAAACTTTTCTGAAAACTACAGATCAGTCTTTTACAGCACAGTGGTGGATATATATATATATATATATCCACCACTGTGGAGAAAAAATTTAAGAAGTTTGAATCCATGCTTGACAAGCTCCTGTCTCAACATCTCCAAAGGCCTCTTCCTTTGTGGCTGGTGCTGTTGTTATGGACCACGTGTGTGTGTGTGTGTGTGTGTGTGTGTTTGCTGTATACATGAATAATCCTGAATTATTGATCTTGCCATTCATTTGTATCTGGAAGAGAATTTCATTGCATTTTATCTAGACTGCATATTTGCTGCGCTGGCATCGTAGGAGAAAAAATGTAAGAAGTTTGAATCCATGCTTGACAAGCTCCTGTCTCAACATCTCCAAAGGCCTCTTCCTTTGTGGCTGGTGCTGTTGTTATGGACCACCGTGTCTACAATGCTCCTGTTCCATTCAAAATAATCTTGATTGTCTGCCTGAATGATCTCAAACTTAAATTCTGAAAAATGTTTAGACATTTACAGTCAATAACTGAAGTTGTCCCAGAAGGACTACAAATCTGTACTATCATAGTAAAACTCCTCTCTAGTCATCTCTTCTCCCTTTCCTTCTCCTCTCCTCTTTTCTCACATCCTGCTCTCTGCTTATCTCTCTCATTGCACCTCTTTCTCTACCCACTCCATCACCTTAGCCTCACACCACTTTCTTTACCCCCACCCCTATTTTTATTAGGGGTTCAAGCACATAGTGCTGCAACCCTATTCTAATTGTTAGGAGTTTTATTATTATTATTATTATTCCCTAAAACTGATTGTGCAGCCCAAACCTAGAGAGCTGAAACTTTGTCAGATTGTAGTAGTCCGGCCTTCTTGTCAGATCCAAAGACTCACCGCACTCGGCCAATAGAGGGCGCTACAGCGATCAAAAATGCAATGTCATAGACTCAATTGGATCTTATATCATTGGATTCCTTAGCTCAATCAAAACAAAATGGCTATCTCCGATTTCATTTCCGTCTGATAAAATTTTTTTTGTCAGAAACCTACTTTTGCGAACTAGTCCTAGGTTTTTCCCCCGGTCGGAACCAAACCAGTGCAGAAATGTTCTTTGGACAATAAATATAAAAAATGATCCAAAAAAAGTTTGAAATTTCAACTCACCGTCGCTTAGGGACGCAAAAAAATCTGTTAGGGACTGGGCCATTTTTACTAAAATGGCTATAACTCCTGAACGGACTGAGATATCTTCACCAAACTTGGTACTCATGTGTGCAAGTTCAATCTTTGGTCAAATAAAAACAATTCGCAGTTCTGCCACTTGGTGGCGCTATAAGACGAAAAAAACCTAAAAATGACTATAACTATGCAACTGTTGGTCCGATCGACTTGAAAATTGGTATGCATGTGTCTTCGTCCAAAGGGGCACAAGTGTCTATGAGGACATTCGCGTATCTAAAAACACATGGCCGCCAATTGGTCAAAGAAGTTTAAGCACCTATTGGACAAGGTTAACGGAGGTCGATCAGAACAAAACTCGGTGGGCATATTCGACTCATGGCCCTAAAGGTCTGTAAGAATTTTGAAAGAAAATGGCCACTAGTTGGCGCTAACGAGCTTTTTTGGCTCAGTAATCATGTGGTGTTTCACAAATCCACACAATATGCATATCATTCGATAGACCTCCTCATAAACAACTTTGCCTCAAGAACCATTGCTGTCAGTCAAATCATTCATTAATTATTCACAAATATGTTCAAAACCTACTTTTGCGAACTAGTCCTAGGTTTTTCGCTCAATCTCAATCAAACCACTGCAGCGATATTCTCTGGACTCTTTAGATCAATAATTAAATTTTTTTTTTTTTAATTTTGTCCTTTGGTTATCTTTAACGGGGTACTTTAGAAAAGGGGTGTGGTCAAATATACCCATAAGCATATAAAACTTAAACGAAAACTCGGTGACTCGAAACTTGGTGAAACCATGTGTCAGATGACTCTTAACAAGCATGCAAAGTTTCATGGAGATCGGACCATAGGTGGCGCTATAACAGTTAAAAAGACCTCAAAAACACAAAATTTGAATAGAAAATGACCTCATATTGTAGAACATGTACATATATTCACAGAAACACCAGATCTTCATATCATATGATAGAACTCCTCATTCTGAACAACTTCGCCTCTGGGACTAATGCTGTCAGTCAAATCGTTAATTAAATATTTTAAATTATGTTACAAACCTACTTTTGCGAACTAGTCCTAGCTTTTTCGCTCAATCTCGATCAAACCCCTGCAGTGTTATTCTCTGGACTCTCTAGATCAATAATTATCAAAAAAATGTAGAATTTTGTCCTTTGGTTACCTTTAATGGGGTCATTTAGAAATGGGGTCTGGTCAAATATACCCAAAACATGTGTCAGATGACTCTTAACAAGCATGCAAAGTTTCATGGAGATCGGACCATAGGTGGCGCTATAAAAGTTAAAAAGGCCTCAAAAACACAAGATTTGTATAGAAAATGACCTCAATATGTAGAACATGTTCATATATTCGCACAAGCACTAGATCTTCATATCATATGATAAATCTCCTCATTCTGAACAACTTTGCCTCTCTGACCAATGCTGTCAATAAAACTGTTAATTAAATATGTGAGATTATTTAAAACACCTACTTTTATGAACTAGTCATAGATTTTAAACTCAAAATCAATAAAATCAGTGCAGTACTATTCTCTAGACTCTCTAGGTCAATAATTATCAAAAAAATGGTTTTATCAAAAACACATTTTTACAACTATAAACCAGTAATTTTATAATATGTTCTTTACATAGTGTACCCAAAGGCCTATAAATCATAAAAGAAAGCCTACAACATCTCTCAAAACTGTGTAAAATGATACATAATTTCGTTCAAAACAAGCATGCAAAATTTAAGAGAGATTGGGCAAAAAAATGACACTATAATAGTTGTAAAGGTTAAAAACACGGTGTTGTATGAGAAATTGCAATTATAACCACTAGATGGCAGTGGAAGACCACTAATGGGCTCATTAAATGCCCTAAAACAGTACTGTTCATAGGTTAGGTTATGGATTCATGCTAAGATATTATAAAATCACTGTTATAACATTTAAAATCACATTGCGTCAAAGTTTACCATTTTGTTTATACAGACATATCCGTTTTTACAATTATGCCAGATTATGATTACAGTGAAACCTGAAAATGACATATTAACTCATAAAAATAGAAGACTTGCAATAAGTTTTGTCACCTATAATTTAACTCAAATATCTATATCTGCAACAAAATGTGTGTGCATGTATGTGTGTGTGTGTGTTTGTTTAAGCATGCTGATTGAGTATTAATATACTAGTTTAATAATTTCATTTCCGTGTGTGTGTGTGCGTGTATGTGTGTGTGTGTGTCTTTGAGCCTATTCTCTATATTGGATGTGTTTTACTGTCAGTCATACATCCAGGTTGGCCAAGACCACCTTAAAGGCCTTAAAGTGCTTGAACCCCGGTAATTGCTGCTTGCAGCTATATTTTATTATTATTTTTATTATTTGCATATTCATTCTTGCTCTTTGTATACTTTCCCTTTTATTACTACTCTAAAGCAATTGTGATAAATGTGTAAACGATTAGGAAAACTGCATTTCTTGTGTTGAGTGTATGATTAACCGAATAGTTATCAGTTTAGAGCCAATCGAAAATATACCATGTTCATTTGATAGAATGACAAATTACAGAGTTTGGTTTGTTGTGTTTTGGACAAATGGTACATAAATGATTGTAATTTGTGTAAAACCTTTTTTTCATTTCAGATATTTTGAAGTATTGGTTGGTTGTATTAACTATTGTGAAAACATTTGAGAGTTTTGTGCATATTGTTTTGAGGAAATTACTTGCATGATTTGTAATTTGTTTGAAATGAATGAAAACATACAATCTGTACAATTATAAAGTGTTCAGGTCACTGTTAACTTTTTTGAGAACAGTGAACTGAGTTTGGAGAAATGTGTCAAATCGATTGGGAAAAACTGTAAGATATATACAAATGAATATTATTTACTGCCATCTGATTATATGCATATGTGTGTGTGTGTGCGTGTGTGTGTGTATACAGTAGTCAACATTTGAAGTGGATCAAAAAAGTTCATCAAACGCATTTTGGTTTTAGGACAACTTTAATGAAAGGTTTTGATCCACTTCAAATGTTGACTA